CTCCAGGGGCTCTTGCCCCATTTGTCCAATTTGCTCCAACTCCATTTGTCAAGACTACAGTTGTTTCAGTAAATGAATTCTAACCTCACTTGCCCGTGTCTTGCTGCAGGGTGGAGGTCTTGAGACGGGAAGATGTGAAGAGGCGATCCATACACTTGAAGGTGCTCTTCAACAACAAGGAAGTGTCCAGGACTGTCAGTCGGCCACTAGGGGCAGACTTCCGTGTGCACTTTGGACAAATTTTCAATCTGCAGATATTGAACTGGCCGGAGAGTTTAACACTGCAGGTACACAATTTAATTGTTGTAGTCACTGTCCCAAGAATTTTTTGGTCATTTCAAATGAGAGGTAGTTTTGAGTCATCCAGTGGTTACACGGGTGTTCTGAAAGATTCTCCAAAGAGAAAGAAGGTCTGCCTCTTCCTCTTTAGCATGGCTGTGCTTGGCCAAAGGAGCTTTGTTCCTCTCACGTCCTGAAAACACTGCTGGAGTTCACTCTCAGCAAATGACTAAGTATGTGCCTACAGGCTAGGGGGTAGGTTCATTCATTGGAGACAAAGGTGCTTCAGAAAGGAATATTTCAATATCACCCTGTACTGTAGAAGTCCTGGTGTAGCACTGTAGGATAAGCACTGGACTGGTAACGACAAGATCAGTGGTTCAAACCCAGTAGCCCCTCCTTGGAAACCCTATACAACATCACTATGAATCAGAACTAACTCAGCGGCACTTAATAACAACAACAACCATAAACCCTAGGTCCGTAGGTTGGCACAAAAAGTTTGTACTTACCTGGTAACTGAAAGGCTGATAGTTCAAACCCACCCCACAGCACCGTGAAAGGAAGGCCCAGCAATCTGCTTCCGTAAACATTACAGCCAACACAAGCCCTAAGGAGCTCAGTTCTACTCTAACACCTAGGGTTAGCAGGTCAAAAGCAACTTAGGAGCAGTGGGTGTGGTCGTGTGTTTGTTTGCTTGTTTGGGTTGGAGGTTTTTACCATGGACCCTAGCATAATGTAACACAGAAATCATTCATGCCGCAATCATAAATGGTTATGATGGGGAGAAAGGTGCCAAGATCCCTTTCCCAAAAAGAATCTCCCGCAGCAGCCTAAATTATACCATTAGCAATGTATTTGTGTCTTGGGCCTTCTTGTTCTTTTGGTGGCTCCACTATTATGATACAAATATACCTGCTATCTAGGACTACAAGTATGCGGTCCAGTTTCCCTTGACCACCAGGCAGAACTGTCTCATTCCCACCCACCACCAGGGCAGAAATTCTGGACTGATCACATCCCTTCCTGACTCCTGAGCCTGGATATGACTTCTTTATACAACACTCCAGGCAACCACCAGCTAGTGATAGCAACTGACGTGAAGCCTATAGACACCATTACAACTATATGATTCTCAAAAGGTTTAAATACTTCTTTACTGATTAGTGTGGCGCAGTAGAATATGCACTAGACCACAAGGTTGGTTTAAACCACAAGCATTTAAGCGTTGATGTGGCTCATTTGTTACCTCCTTGCCTTTGCTGTTGTTCTTAAATGCTGTCATGTCAGTTCCTGTACAGGGTATCCAATGAGCAGCGGATGGGTTTGAACCACTGACCTGGTGGTTAGCAGTCTAGTGCTTATCTTACAGTGCCACACAAGAGTCCTTCTTACCTTTTTGTAGTCATCTAATGCCGAGTCAGTTCCAACTCATAGCAACCCTGTTGCTATGATTTCCAAGGAGTGGCTAGTGGTTTTGTACCACTGACCTTGCAGTTAGTAGTCCAGTGCTTACCGTATAGTTAGCATCACACCAAAATATAAGTAGGGCTATATGGTTTCTCTTTTCATGTTTTATTGGCACTGATGATGGAATTACCAAAATAGGGTATACCATATCATTCCCATAAATCCTCAGCAATTTAATGTCTTCTTTAGGGGAAAAAAAATGTAGAGTGTCCTCAGAAAACAGATTTTGCAAGTTTAAATATTAAAAACTTGATGTCATAAAGTTTACTAAAATCAGTTGGTCAGTAAGATTTAATGCACTCTTTGGGACATTTGAGAGGGTTTCAAAAAGTTTGTAGACAAATGGAATGAAAAGATAATGGCATTTTTTCCATGAACTTTTTGAAGCCCCTTGGAAACCTGCTTATGAAAGAGCTTTGTAAACAAGAAAGTACTATACAACTACATATGTTTCTACCCAATGACATGGGGACTCATTCTCTCCATCACATTCCTTCTGAAACCATGTTATGTGTGCCCTTTTCAAAATGATGTACTCATTCAGTCCTGTTCCTTAACATTACTCTGCATAACCTTTGATTCGGCGTACGTTGGTGTTGCCATTGCTGTTAGGTGTCATGGAATCTATTCTGACTCAGAGCTACCTCGTGCACAATAGAAGGAAACACTGCTCAGTCTTGAACCATCCTCACAGTTCCTGTTCTGGAACCCAACCCATGTGCTGCGAATCCATCTCTTAGGAGGGGGTCTTCCTCCAACGTCAATGGGCTTAAGCATAGCAACAATTGTGAGGCTAGTACAAGACCAGGCAGAGTTTCATTCTGTTTTGCATAGGCCTGCTATGTGTTGGAACCAGCTTAATGGCACACAACAACAATACGTTATTGCAAGGGAGTGAAATAAGATTCTTCCCCTCACTGTGAGACCGAACAACACCTAAACAAAGAATTTTGATCTATCAGATAAATGTTTCTATGGGAGGACCACAAGATATAATGGTGGCACAAAACGGGTACCAGTTAAGCCTTTGGCCACTTAGATGGTGCCCATACAGTGTGATAAATTTGGAGCATGTGGTTCAAGTGTACAGTGACTATGGACTTCCCGCTGAACTTCAGAATTAGACAGATGACACCATCCAATCTCAGTTCTCTGTTGCATCTGACTTAGAATATCTTGCAGTAATAGTAAGTCTGGGGCCCTGAACTCAATTCCTATGCCATTTTTGTCTTTGTCTTTGCCCCGGTAGTCTCTCTAAGCTCAGTCAGCACCTTGTAAATATGAGCTGAGATGAGGCCAGCACACTAGCTCAGCACAGATTCATTCTCACTCCTGGAAAAAGGACTCAAATCCTATGCCCTATATGGAACACTGGTTGGAGAGAATTCATAACATCTTAACTATTCTGTGTCTTAAGTGGGAAATATTCATCAAGAGGAACTCCATTGCCTAAGAAGAAACATGCATCTATTAATAGAAATTTTAAAAATGTAACATTACCATTTTTAGAGATGTATACCAGCTCGGTTCTGGTGTGGCACTGAGGGTTAATGCGCCAGACTGCAAAGCCATTTGAACTGCAAGGTTGGTGGTTCAAGCTCACCAGCTGCTCCTCAGAAACCCAATACAAGGTTGCTATGGGTTGAACTGACTCAGTGGCACTTAACAACAACCAGCACAGACAGAAGAACAAAGCCAAGAAAGGAGCCAACGGAATTATGGAATACTTGGCCATCTTCTCACCTTGAAAGGGAGTGAGCCAAGAACTTGACCAGATGGAGCAGAGTGTACAGCTGGAGCTCAGCTTTGCATTCAGAATCTATGGCTGCCCTGACTTTGGGACCTTGGCCTGATGGTGTTGGCATTATAGTGACATCCACCACAGTAATCTGTACTGGTTGCCTGGTTAGTTATGTGCCATGGAGTTGGTTCCAACTCATAGAGACCCTGTACAGTGTTTCAGAGGCTGTAAATCTTTATAGGAGCAGAACGTCTCATTATTCTGCTGGTAGTTTCAAACTGCTGACCTTGAAGTTAGCAGCCCAACTTGTAACCACATTAGAACTGGTCAAGTTAGCCTAGTTGGCCCCATCTTAAGAGAAAGACTGAGAAGGAGTCGGGTGATTTTTCAGTAGCTTAAAAAAAAATGAGATCTTGTGGGGAAGAACTGGAGAGATTTACTAAATAGTGTATTTGAAGCTGACACTAGAGAGATTCTGGGGGTGTGGTACTTCTCTTACTGTCTTGGAATTTGGTACAGCTAACAAATCACCTAGGATATGTCCCTACTGTCTCACCTATTCTACCTGACGACGCTGCTGTCAGAAAACAATCTGATCCAGAAAAAGGAGGAAGCCCAGTCTCCAAGTGACCTGTGTCTTGGCTTAAAATAGAAACAACTGTAGAAGGCTCCTGCTTTTTATAACCTCCTTTTCCCAAGGGAGTAGGCCAGACTAGGGTGTCAAGAGCTTGGCCGTAGACATCATGCATTTGGTACCCATGGGACTAGAGTCACAACTGAGTGTTCCAATCTGAAATAGAACCGGGACCAGCGTAAATGCTAACGACTTAGAGCGTAAGTACTAACAACGTGGACTGATTGACCTGGAAGTAAACTCATTCTGCTGCCATCTTGATTTTGCTGTTTCTCTTCCATCATTTCAGGTGTATGAAACTATTGGTCACACTGGTACCACCCTGCTAGCAGAAGTGTTCCTGCCTATTCCTGAAACGACAGTTGTCATTGGAGGGGCTTCCATTGAAGAAGTTGAGTTTAGTAGTAATCAGCATGTGACACTGGACCACGAGGGAGTTGGGAGTGGTATGAAACCTAATGGTTCTCAATGTCACACAATTTAATTGTTACATTTGAACAGTTTTAACTTTTCTTTTTTTCTTTCTTTCGCTCACTTCTTCGTGGTGGTGGCGGTTATATGCTGTGGAGTTGGTTCCGGTTCATAGCGACCCTGTAGAAGAATTCCAAGGCCTTAAATCTTTACTGGAGCAGAAAGCTTCAGCTTTCTCCAGTGGAACAGCTGGTAGTTTTGAATTTCCAACCTTGAGATTAGCGGCCTGATTTGTAACCCTTAGACAATGATAAACTTACTATCACAAATGCAAATCAAAGCAATAATGATATATCATTTTTTTCAAAGTCATTTTTTATTTACTATTGGTGTCCTGCTATGGCACTGTGGGATAATGCGCTGGAATGCAAAATTATTTGAGCCACAAGGTTGTTGGCTCAAGCTTATCAGCGAAAACCCTATACAGGGTCGCTATGGGTCGGAAATAACTGGATGATATTTAACCACAACATTGGTGATCACAAAATGCATATAACAATGCAAGTATAAAATAGCATGACAGTGAGAATTAAGGACCTTTAAAATGCTCCGGAGTTCTGGTGTGGTGCCGTAGGATAAGCACTGGACAACTAATCTCAATGTTGGCAGTTCAAACCCATCAGCTACTCTTAAGAAACTTTATACAGGGTCGCTATGAGTTGAAACCAATTTGATGGCATTTAACAAAGCAACAACAAAATGCTCTTGGATTCCCTAATTCCACTTCTAGGAATCTTTTCCAACACAATAATTTGAAATATGCACAAATATTTATGGGTAAAAAATATTGCTGTTGTTAGGTGCCATAAAATCGGTACCGACTCGTAGCAACCTTTGCACAACAGAACGAAACACTGCCTGGTCCTGGGCCAACCTCACAATTGTTGCCACGCTTGAGCCCACTGATATTGCCATTTTGCCAATCCATCTCTCTGGG